GATGGCGTCTCTCGCTGCTGCTCCTACAGGTTGGACCTCCCTGGTCCAGCACTTTTGGGACCTAACTGGTCCCAGACAAGGGAATTTGCCAGACCAAGGGAGGTCATTTCTGGCCCACCTGCCACTTGCCCTGTCCCCTGCCCTGCCGCTCCACCGGACTTCCTGCCCCCCACCCAGCATGCCAGCTATGCCACATGCCAGGCTTCCTGGCTTACCCTGCCTCCTTGGCAGCTCAATTGCATCATGCTGGACTCCCACTGCACCCCAGCTGCAGCAGGTTGGGTTTCCCTGTCCCCTCCCACAACAGCCAAGACTCTCTGATCCTAGAACATCCATGGTTCTGCTCTGGACAAGATCAGGCCCCATCTTGCCAGGCACTGCACAGCCCCAGCAGGGAAAGAACAGCTAGCTCAGAGACTTTCCAGTCTGTCTAGGACAGGAGTCAGAAACTCAACCCAGACATCCCGCGACTCAGATCAGCACCCCAGCCACCAAGGACCTTTCTTGCTGCAGGGGCAGTTCTGTACTCACCACAGGGCCAGGGAGACACATCCTGGCAGCATCCATCAGCGTGACGCAGATCAAATAAAAGGTCTGCGGCTCCTGCATTTTTTCTTTGTAAATGCATAAGATGAATCCAAATCTGGCCAGGTGCACGCCTGCTAGAGACATGGCAAACAACAGCAGGGTGCCAGGATGCTACAGGATGAGAGCAGAGAACCATCTGGGAGACAGTTGCCAGTAAAATCTTGGTTACGCCTACCTGTAACTTCTGTCCCAAATCCCCCTCCTCCCTCCCCCTGCACACCAGGAACTAACAGGCATCTCCCCTCCCTGGAGGCTATCCAGCCCAACACAGCCCAGCTGATCACAGGAGGCTCACTCGGAGAACCTTCACCGCCCCACTCCATGCTGCAACCCAGCTTGTCCCGGGAAGCAGTGAAAGAGGCGCTGTCTCGTTGAGCCATGTGCTGGCGTGGATCAGCCTCGGAAAGAGAGTAAAGAGTGGGCTGTGGAAATGAACTCCCAGTCACCTTGCAGCCCTGGCTTTGGTTGCAGGAAGTTGACCTGATCTCACCTTTTCTGCAGGCAAACTCACAGAACCAAGTGCTAGGTCTCCCAGGTTCTTTCCTAGCAAGTGAAAAATTGTTCACTATTGGGCCCAGGGCAAGGCCTGTACATCTAATATGTAGGCTTGGATGGACCAGATTTATGTCAGTAAATATGCATTTCCCCATATGTAGCCAAACCAATTAAAAAATATTCCCGTTCATACAAACTTATCAATGGCAAAGCAAGGGCACCATTTGGGGTGGGGGGGTTAAGGAGCTGTGGTCCCCTAAAGTGTGCCTCCTAGATTTCATACTTGAGATCCACTTAAAGACCATGACCTAGCTCCAGAGGCTGGTCTTAACTGCAAGGGTTTGGATGCTTCCAGCTTTGCCTTTGGGGCAGAGAGTTTGTTTACAAACAGAGGGAGGCAGGGTGATTATGATAACAAAAGGCCTATCCCTCAAGTAATTGAAGGATCCTTAGACGATCATGAAAATATTGGTAGGTACTCCACTTAAAAGATAGGGGAAAACATGCATTTGGACCTCTGCAGTTCAACCTAATCATAAATAATCTTGTAAAAGGGGTAAACAGTAAGGCTGCAAAATTTGCAAATGATACAAAATTACTCAAAATGGTTAAGTCCAAAGCTGACAGCAGAGAGTTACACAGGGATCTCACAAAACCAGGTGATTGGGCAGCCCAAAGGCAGGTGGAATTCAGTGTTGATAAGTGAAAAGTAATGTACGTGGAAAAATATAATCCTAACTATAGATACAAAAATGATGGGGTCTAAAATAGCTGTAACCACACAAGAAAGGGATCTTGGAACCATTGTGGACAGTTCTCTGAAAACATCTGAACAAAAAAGTCCCATGGCAGTCTAAAAAGCTAACAGAATATTGAGACTCAATATTAGGAAAGTAACAGATAATAAGATAATATAGCAT